TAGTCGCTAATCGATCGGAGCGTCTCGGGACGATGGGCGACCCTTCTGTGTCCCAAGACGCGATCTTCAGCCTTGTAGAATCCATCGGGCAAATTTATAACGAGGTATGTGAAACAGAATGCGTAAACGTATGAAATTGCGGCGATTGAAATCGTACTCGCGAGGGTGATGCGAGGGATGCACAGTCTGAGTACACTACAGAAATACATCCTATCTAATACTTTCCTTTCAGTGTTGCTCTATTAGGCAAGAATCGTGTCAATTCACCAAACTAGTCGCATTATTCCCCGAGGACAAAAAATTTATTACGAAAAACTTGACGCGATCGTCAAACTCTCCTCGAATCTCTTCGAACTTTTGCGCGCGCATCCAGTACATAGACAAGTTAGAAAATTTATGAATCATTCTAAGAAGGTCCTCTTGTTTGAACTAGATAAGCGGGAAATGGGCAAATACTAAAAATAGATAGTAAGTCTTATCTTTTCCTGGGACCGCATACAACACTCTGTCGATCTCTAAGTTGATCATCGCTTTAAATTCTTATTTACAAGCGCTTCAACTTTAAGAATGTTTATTTAACAAGATATAAATATGCTGTTTATAGAATATTATGTGAGTGATCTGCAAAATGTTGTAGATCTCTCCTCCGAAAATCGGACGATAGTTAGGTACCGCAGCAGGAAAATTAAATTGCTTTTTGGGGAAACACAAGGGCGTGATAAATCCGAAAAAATATGTGTTTGACAGATATTGCCTGTCTCACCGTTCGTTTCTCTGTTTTCCAATAGCGGCAGCCTGTAGCCCATCTCTCCCCTTCTCTCTTTACCATTTCCTGTTTCTTTGGATGAAAATCCAGCCCTTATAAACCCTCATCTCCGTTTTCGGCCTCCACGTGTGTACCTTCCTTTCTTTTCCCGCAGTTATAATTTAATTTATTATTTTGCGGAACGACACGTTTTCTTTTCATCTGCAACTATTACAATGTACGTTGTAATGCTCTCGGAGAGTTTCACACCAGAGAATTTATGGTAAAATCTTTTCTACTTTGTTGCATTTTATCTTTTATCATTCTTAGAGTAAAATATAACGGCCACTATCCTTCGTTTTAGTCAAATACAGTGACATCTTTTTTAAATTGCAGAACAGATCCAATATGTTTATACGCTCGAAGGTGAAATAAATATTCTTGTTCTATCTATCCTTTTTTTCTCTTATCAACCATATATTTCTATTTCATTCTCTCTCTCTCTCTCCATCTTCATGCAAAATTAGCATACTTTGAGGTAACAGCTGTTGCAGCCACCGTCAGCATCTGATAAACTGATAGTAGCGACACACGCTGGCGCACTGCCTCCTTCTTGAGTCGCAGAGTCGACTTTGAAGGTGTTCGATACCGTGATTGTGTGATTTTTATTCCGAAAACGTACAACACGAGCAATATGCAATGGTGATTCCAGCGATTAGCTTTATTCTCGCAACGCAACGCAACGCGACATTTTCGCGAGGGTCTCTTCCCCTCTCGCTTTTCTCGAATAACAGTTCAATTCGGACGCAGCTGCCGCCGCTAATGCGCTATTTTCCGTTCCGCAAGTGCGCCGCTTCGGCTGATGCAGTCCGCGATGCATACATCGCTAAGGGTGAAATCCTTCCATCGCTCATACGTCACCCAGTCTCGAAGTTGAGTTTACGTGCTCTGAACAAAGCCATCCGCAATGATACCTTCCACAAACGGAGTATTCAAAATAAATTTTTTTCAATTATTCGACAGCGACGATTTGACGCTTGCGAGAAATCAGTTTTTCAACGATTCCGCTAAACTCGAGTCTCTTTCGAGATTGAAGAATCTTTGATATTTACGCGATTTACATTCTTAGTTTACTGATACAGGCACGGGGTGTGTTATTCGCGATGACGAGGTAAGATCGAGATCGCAAGGTTCAGTGGATCCGGCAAGTCGTAACGATTAACGAGCGTCACATTCGTCAAACTACGACCAGCGTCAAGAGCCACTGGGTGATACGTGTAACGAGCTAATTAACTTAATTTATCGCCATTTGACGGAGATCCAATCGCAGATGCGCGCCACGTTAATTGTACGTCCATTAGCTGCCGATACGATCGTATATACCATACCGTTCTCGTGTGCTCTCTAACGATCGCTTTACAGCTCGTTTCGTCGATAGCTCCCATGTTCGTCGAAAACCGTCCCTTCTACAGTTTTCCATCCTTCGTTTCCCTCAGTCTCGCTCCCTTTTCCCTTTTTCTCATTGCTCTTCTCTTGCTCTTCTTCTCATCTTTCTTAATTTTTTTCTCTACACTTTTTCATTTCCTCTCGTTCATGTTTACTCACTTTAGTTCAAATGTTATATACAATTATAATAAATATTACAGGCTAAGATAAAATATGAACTAATTAGCTTAACCAATATCGGTGCGATTCTATTTATCTAAAAATTTTCCACTAGTTTATGAGAATAATCGCAATCAAGTGTCATTAATTTTTAAATAAATTTTTCTGATGCATACTTATTCCCATTATTGTGGGATGTAGTTCTACATTAATCAAAAGCATTTATTAGTCAGTCCTCGATTTATCGGTTCGAACCATTGTTTTATATATATACATATATATATATGTGCCTGTGTAAATGTTAATGAGCTTTACTTATTAACACAGAACTTTTCCAAGCGGATTTTCGAAGACTTAAACAAAACAGGATCGATAAGCACAGGACGAATTGCGCATTTCCTCATGTATTATAATTTACTTATTCACTAACGGTTCATCAACTTTTACACTTTGATAAAAGGATTGTGTTAAAAAATAAAATTAATATTTATATCCACTTGTATCCATTATTCTATTCGACACAGAAAAGATTGTATTACAAAATTAAACAAATATATTAGCTATTCATGTTATTCATTCACGTAATCATGTAACAATTATTTTAAAGAGTAAGATAAAATTGGTAAGCAAGATTACCAATGGTAATAATTTGTGAAAAAGGCCAACAAAATGTTTTACACAATGTTTGACAACGATTTAATTTCTATTACAACCTATACCTTAATAAAAACTAATATCTTTCCTTGTCTCACGGATACGTTTTCGTTTTGGAAAATAGACCGAATCTCGAAACTGGTCAAGTTGTGAACGTATAACGGTCGTAAGATATCGTTTACAATAGGATGATCATTACCTGAAAGAAGACGTCGAAACCGACAGTCACCGTTATCTTCAAAACGGCCGAAACGGCTAACCGAAAGACTAACCTTTTTTCTCTATTTTTCTTCGATTTCACAGGTATTCGACATCTCGGAATTTATATCTTCTCGCAATGGACACTTACGACCGGAAACCGACTTATCGTGTCAATTGATTTTGGAACACTTAGCATATCCTCTTTCGTGTCCTCGAGACAACACGTTGGAATGGTGCATCTTGCAACCATTTGCTTAAAGAATTACAGCTAATTCTCAGAATGCTCGAACTTTATATTTTTAGCCAAGTCGATTCTCGAGAATTTGGGACGTTGCGTTTCTCTCTGATCGTGAAACGCACGTGGTCCGAGGAAACGAGAGCTTCTCGTGGCCTCGCGGTCTCTAAGGGGACTTGAATGATAAGGGACGGCGACGGGCAAAGGCGACGGGGCCGCGGGAAGGGGCGGAAGAGGCGCCGGGGAGACACCCGCAATTTCGTGATTGCTTTTCAGACGACACTTTGTACACTCATGGACAGCAGCAACCAACTCATTACGGTAATGACACGTGTGCATCAATTCGCATTAATATTCTAATGGACACGTGGGAGGGGGATGGCAGGGTGGTGGGCAACCGTCGGTGTGAGTGGATGAATCCCGCGTGTCCGTGTAGCGCGAGGTCGCGATGGAAGATGCGCCAGAAAGAAAGAAAGAAAGCAAGCAATGAAACGGGTACGTTCAGAAGGATCGTGTGCCTCGTGGTGCGTTGTAATAAATTAGAAAAATTCGAGAAACGCGAAGAGGAGGCATCAGCCACGTGAATCCTCTGCATCAAACCTCTACGCGAATCATTCGATAAAAATTAACGACTCGATATTATTCTTTCACTGAATCCGTTCAACGCGACCACGACGTACCGATCATTCCGCATGGACGAAGGAAGGGAAGATCGGTGACCGACGTCCGCAACATCCTGCGACGCCCTTCACCCGCACAGCCGCGTCCCGCTGCCTTTAACGCAGCTCGTTAACTCGACATAATGATCATTCGATTATGGGCATCGCGTATAATTCAATAACGATCCGTGCGCGTAACGCCGCGACGTCATCGTCATGGCTGGTCGGCCCGCCACGCCGCCCGGTCGGCCCGGACGGTCGGTATGCCGATGACACTCGTCCCGCGTAATCGGTCATTACGCTCGATGACGCGCGCGTTTTGCGCGGGTCCACCACGCGCGCTAACTTCGTTAACGTTCGAAACGAGATTCCCGCTGTGTTAGCGCCGTCACGACGACTCGCTCTCGCCAGTCTGAGTTGGCATCCTCCAGGAGATATGCCTGGCAGCAATCACTATGTGAAGATATCACGAGAGTAAATTTGAGACTATATCATTTTAGGATTCCACTCAACATTCACCCTGAGAGAAACGTTTGGTAAAAAATTTTAAAGAACTTTCTTTTTGAACAATAACAATAATTATATTAGGACTCTCGAATTTTAAACAATACAAAAAGATAAATATAATAGGCTAATGAGAGTCAGCAATGATAAACGCCGCAATTATTTAGTGAACAATCAATACTCAGATATTGGATTGATGTCTTCTTTATTTCGAACGTTTCGACTCTCTTTGGAGTTCTCTTCAGCGAAAATGATACAAGTATAATTAGCATGTCACTCACATACATCTATAATGCCTAAGTTGCAAATTGATAAAGATGCAACGTTGTTAATCTGATATTTTTTAAAAACAAATCTTATTAAAGTGATATATGCGTAAATAATTCAAATGACTTACCATTATGGAACATAAAGCGTTGCACTAAAGCTTGGTTGAACATATTAAAACTTAAAAAATAGAATTGTTAAAATCAAAGTGTACAAAGATCACACGTTTTTAGAACACACGTCCGTGTACGATGACGTCCGTGTCACTCAGATACGAACTATTCTCGAAGTAAGAGGTCACACAGTAAACATTAAGAAATTTGTAAATATGACGAAAACACATGTATATAGTAATGTTTACTGTGTGTATCTCTTACTTCGAGAATAGTTCATATCTAAGTGACACGTCATCGTACACGGACGTGTGTTCTAAAAATGTGTAATCTTTATATTTGATTTTAATATAATTCTACTTTTTAAATTTTAATATGTTCAACCAAGCTTCAGTGCAATACTTCAGGTTCCGTGATGATTAATCATTTGATTGTTTACGCATTTATCACTTTAATAAGACTTGTTTTTAAAAAAAATGTCAGATTAACAACGCTGCATTATTGCCAATTTGCGAGTGACTTAGGCATTATGGACATGTGAGTTAATTATACTATCATTCTTGCTGAGGAGAACTCCAAAGAGAGTCGAAACGTTCAAAATAAAGAAGATATTAATCCAATATCTGAGTATTGATTGTTCACTAAATAACTGCACCGTTTATCGTTGCTAACTCTCATTAGCCTATTATATTTATCTTTTTGTATTATTTCTCTCATCATTTCGTAATTTGAATCTTTATATATAAGGGAAGCGGATTGTTTGTTGTACATTTTTTTCTAAATATAGTATAAGATAGAAGGGAGAGAGAGAGAGAGAGAGAGAGAGAGAGAGAGAGAGATTTTGTCGATAAGTGCGACAGATTTGTTGGTGTTGTCGTCAATATATCGTTTGCCATCGCATCGTGAGAGCAGAGAAGGGTTGGGAAAACGCAGGCAAGGATCAGACGATTGATCAGGATAAGCCAATTTTCCAAGCAATTTCTTATCGCCCACCCAATTCGATGCCTCTTCCTTCTTGGTTTGACGGGCATGGTGCACAATTATGTCCGTTAGATTACTTTATAAAAACAAGCTTGAAATGAATACTGCGCAGACAATTTGTACTTATAATTTATTTGTACTTTTAATGTCTATTTCTACCAATGTGGATTATCTTATTAATCTCAGTTCAACTTACACTTTATCTAACTCTTACAATTAGAAAAAGATGAAAAATAAGTTAAACCGAGATTAAAGTTAATTTACATTGATAAATATGAGCATAAATCACGTATGTTTTGACAATTTAAAAATATATGTTATTCCACATGGTTGGAAATCTTTTAGGAATCGTATACACAAACGTCTGTGAAGTGTCTAGAAATGAGGGGAAAAATTTGGGTTGCAGGTGGTTAAGAGCTCGGTAAAGCGATATCGCTATTAGAAGTCTTACTTTGATCCCACTTTCGGCCGACGAAAGTGAATCCCGAAGTTGACCGCAAAGATCACCCCATCATCACCATCGACACCTTAATAACTATCACTGCTTATAGACGCTCTTTCGTTTACTCGGGTGTGTCTTCACACATGCTTACGTACACAAATACGCACGAACACGTGCACGCGTTGCTCTCGAAAGATATTCGCCAGTCATCGCCGGCAACGAGCCGAAAACTCAGCGGGCTTCTTGTTTGCCTATTTCCTCGGTAAGTTTGCCTTTCCATTCTTCGTCCTCCCTTTCACTCGTCATCTATCACTAATTTCAATTAGTATTTCAAGACGACCTAAGAGGTGAGTAAGCTGCGCTCTCACGTGGTTCAATCGTTTCGAACCGCATATCGTTTCGTAGGCGGAATTGTCCTTTTATTTTCCACTGCGTTTTCACCGAGATGCGCTCGGTGTATATCGTGGGAGATTACGTAAACTACCGCTGCTACAACACCTACGTACATGGTAACAATGAGATTATCCCGGGTTATTCCGTCGGAAACTGTAACCAAGACACGACAAACCTATTTCGGGATCCTCGGAAACCGCTCGAGTCCGTTACATAACTTTAAGAGAAGTACAACGCGCATCCAAATTACGACTTTATAGATATACGCGATCTTTTTTTGCGTATGTAAAACCACGTGTCTCTCAAGTACATTTCTCAAGTACTTTTCGAATATCATGCACGCAAGAGTCATTGCTCGGACGCGCGTTTATCTCATTAAACTTTACAGCGAGCGAGATCGTGATGAAAGCGGCGCGAAACGCTCGACGCGTTGCAGATTTCTCTCTCCACGATAAATTTTCTCGGTTTCCTCCGATCTCGATCTCTTCGAATCTCTCGCGCCCTTCCCTGGAATCTCAGGTGCGCCGCGCGTGTATACGGATTATCGGCGACTCGTGAAATCTATGCATTTTCATTGAGATTTCTTTCGGGCATGTTAACGGTTTCGTCCTCCCTGTTGTCGTCGTCGTCGTCGTCGTTAATTCCGCGTTACGGTATGTAGCAGTGATTGCTGCGGCACTTTATAGGCGCGCTCTTATATACACGCGCAGGAACTCTCGAGAGGAATAACGTGGACGTGGGAGAGCCGGACAGGCCAGATGCGGCGCGCCCACGCGGTGAAAGTAGCGATAATTGATTCTGTGCTCTTAAGATATCTCACGAAGATCCTGCGACCGAGATTAACCGCGAGAGAATCGTTCGAGTATACAGGCCCGCTTCCTTGACGGAAATCGAATCGCGCGTGTAAACGCTCGTTCATTCGACGACAGTACAAATTAAATTTAAGGACCGTGTTAAATTTAAGGACGGAGAGGAGGAAGAAGGGGAGGATTAATGCGTTGCTCGTGAATGATGCGACCGACCGGATAAGTACCATGGATGCGTGACACGCGACATACTGCGAGACAGAGGAGAGACATATATGAATATCGCCAGGTATATATCTGTTATTACTGTTACCGATATTGTCATAACGATGGAAAAGATATCCTGAATGGTAAATTCTGGTTTCATAGACCAAGTTTTTTTCCCCATCGGGATTTGCTTTAAAACACGTGATAAAACGTGCTTTATACACTGCTTGGCGATAGTACATAAACGTATGAAATATCGAGCTTCGAAAAATATTGCACCATCGAGAGTAACGTAACGGTCGGTGGTACGTTTAGGATATTGTGGATTCGTGCAGAAAGAGAAAGGGACGGAAGATGAGGCTATTTACGAGTGAATATAACCGGTAGAAAGATTGCTCTTTTCTCTCTCTCTCTCTCTCTCCAAATTTGATTCTACAAGTATATTCTGTACTCTGTGTCATTGCAAGAACCTAATTAAGTCAATTTTAATCGCTCAAACGGTTTATAGTCATAAAATATAAAAATATATAATATTTTACAGTAATAATTAACAATAAGAGAAGTGATTCCAATATCAAATACGTCATTCGATGATTTTATTAAGACGCATTAGCCTGTTTGCTGCACTCGGCGCCGCGTGTCCTGTTTGCTGCAGCGGAGAAATACGATTACGGAGAAGGGTGTGGGATGGCGGTGGCCCGGTATGAGATGCCGTAATGATACCATTCGCTGCGGCCCGCTGTTAGTATTTGACATTACGGCACGATAATGCAGCTGTACGTCCTCGTAGGCAAATGGATCTTGACGAGGAAGCAGGCAGCCTGTCATCTGATAAATGTTGCGTATGGTCATTCTGTGCGATGAAACCGTGTGCTTCACTGTTGTAACACGTACAATAATTCATAAATAAATGACGGAGAATAAATAGATGAAAGAGAATTAGAAGAGTCGCTTTCAATCCGTTCGTAAAGTATAATACTGTAACAAGTACGGGACACGATCTCGTGAATTTACGTTACAAACGTGTCCGTTACTTCGACCTCGAAACGTCTACGATCTTTCCCGCGTGTCCCGCACAAGAATCGTCGCGGTATCGTAAGCGTCGGGTATGAATGTGCTAGCTAGCGGAGAGTTGCTTTCGTTAAGAAGGGATGTGCGTGAGGAGTGGCGGGCAGGACTGGTAGTGTATCCAAGGCCGATAATCCCTCCGGTGTTTTTCTTTTCCTCCTTCGTCCCCGACCCACTTACCCCGGCATCGTAGACTCCCAACCCTCTCTACCCGTTTTATCGGGTGTCGCCGCGGGTTATCGTCGTGGTTGCTGCCAGGAAGGATGAGATAGGAGGGGGGAGAGGGGTGGTGCCAGAGGGGTGTGAGGCCGCTGCCACCTGTTGGCGGGACAACGTCTTAGCCCTCCTTGCTGCTCCTCACAGACGTTCTTCTCTAGCTTCTACCTTGTCCTCCCCTTCCCCTTCCCCTTCCCCTTCCCCTTCCTTCGCCTTTCTCACCAGTTCGCGCTTCACTCCCTCGATTTCTCCCTTTTTTTCCTCGTACAACTCGTACTAGTCGCCGCGGGACGGGGGATGCGTTTTTCCACGCGAGCCATGGGATGGATTTTAACCCTCCCCGTTTAGAATACGGAGTCGAGCTCGGTGGAATTAATTCCGCTTGAGGCACACGCGCGTGTTCCTGTCACTTCAGAGAAGTATGCGAGACGTTCCTTACAAAGATTTATACTAAATAAGAAGTTGGACGTAATGTTATTCAATGTAATTGAGACATCCTGCAATAATTACGATGTGTCTGTTATGGCTTAACGCCGAGAAAGATACAACTTTTTTTTTATCGAATCCGTGATCTTCTGTGTTCATTTAAAAATACTATCCAATTTCGAGAAACACATTCACGAAAGATCACAGTGCACGGAGCTTCCTTGAAGGCAGCTCAGAAAATCGAAAAACTTTTCAACGGAAGCGCGTACAAAAGCTGGCGGACTAAACAAACAATAAATTTCAACGAGCAGAGCGAACGTTTTCGATTTCTCCACTTTGGAGGTCTCCTTTTAGCGGAGGACAAAGGATCGTTTGTTGGGCCCAACCTTACAAAGGGCCCATTGGTCCCGTGCACGACAAGAGCTACGAGACTTCTTTCTCTTGGCCTTACCATACGTTTACGTATAGCATTCCTCAATTTGAATGTAATAATATAATCACATTTATTTTATCAAAAATA